GGTACCCTTCAGAGGATCCTTCAGGGTGCGTATAGGTTCTCATGATCACAGGACAGGGCGAGCAGGGGAGAACAAAGAAATCAGCAAGGAGGAAATACCCAAACAGATATAACCAAATCAAATATTAACAAAGAATAAATATAATATATTAATAAAGAAAGAATACAAACATGATGTAAATACCTGTATCAGAATGATTGCAGAGTTCGCTGTTCTACGATTGAATACCACATAGAGAAATCAATTTGGACGGTCGAGGATGACCTCAACCGGTGGACCGAAATGAGAAGCGACCCCTTCAACAGTTGGGGAGCCAAGCACCCTTAGCTCCACTTGTTAGGCCGCTAAGTCGGCTCAGGAGGGGAAGGAGAGAGGGGGACAGTAGAGACAGTAGAGGGGAGAAGTGCGCACACAGTCGACGGACATGAGCCGACGTCACATTTGTACATACCCTCCAGGCCTGCAAGCCTCGACCCGCAACTTGAGAACATTTCTGAGGGTGGTCCATCATCAAATAGTGATGCAGACTGTTGTATCATCAGAAATTTACTAAATTCTATTTTCAACACAGTGAAGCCAGTTCACTGTTTTCCTTCCATAAATCTATATGGCTGTTCTAGAAAGTGAAAAAGGTAGAAGAAAGGAGAGGCCCTCTCCCTCGGGCTTTACATTTTAAATAAGATTTTACTGTTGAGAGAAACATGATCCTTTTAGTTTTGCAGTGTCATATTACATTCAGACAAGCAGTCAGTCCTTTATATAAATAATACACAATATTTTCCACCTGAAATTACAAAATAAAAATAAAACTCTCAGTACTTTAAGACTTCCACATGATAACTGTTATGTCACTGGGCTAACAGCTAAACTAATGTGGCCTACACGAATCCATTCATACACATTATAATTCAGTCATGCTCACTTAATTAAGAATATTTTTTTCTGCATGTCTAACCTGCAAGAGGTGCCATTTTGTTTTCTGGCTGTGAGAAGTCTTGATCCTTCTGACCATCACAGTGAAGCTATGCAAAGGTGAAAGAACTTGAGGCTGTGTTTGCTGCTCAATGGGACAACACAGCCTCGAGTTCCTTCACCTTTGCTGCTAGTGTTTGGTTTTCTGTCTGCAGAGCTTCCACACATTTTACTAGGTGCAGATTCTCCTCAGTGCAATGCTTTACCCTACAATAACACAAATGTACTTGGTAAAAGTCGCAGAAATGGAAAGCAACAATGCCCAAGAGAATTTACCACACAAGCTTCATCACCTTGGTATCCCATACTGATTATGTGAGAAAGTGCTACAGCCTGTAAGACATGAATAAACTTATAGAAATCATGAATTAAACTTAAAATTGCAACTGTAAGAAATCAAAGTTCTTCAGTGTACTTCAAATACACGTGACTATAAAAATTGTTTTTTTTTGTGACCGTGCGACAGGAAAGTGAACTCACTCACTCACTGAGTGCGCTCTTCTTGAGAAGCTGCCAACTGTGCAGCTACGCAAGAACTTCCCAGCATTTTATGGAACCCAAAGTTCATTACCATGTTCACAAGAGCCCTCCACTGGTCCCTATACTGAGCCAGATCAATCCAATCCATCCCACCATATCTCTCTAAGGTCCATTTTAATACTTCCACCCACCTATGTCTTGGTCTTCCCAGTAGTCTCCTTCCTTCTGTCTTTCCCAAAAATTTCCTATATGGATTCCTCCTCGCCCCCATTCATGCAACATGCACTGCCCATCTCATCCTCCTTGACTTGATCATTCTAATTATACTTGGAGAAGAGTACAAGTTATGAAGCCAGGAAAGTAAACTAGGTAAAAAGAAAAAGTTTATGCCACTGATATTCAACAGAATTTCCATACAAAACTTTCCGCCTGTCTCGCTGTACATGAAGAGCATTACAAATATGTGACATTTTTCACAGCAATGAGCACAAAACTACAGTCTTCTGGGACGTAATTCCGTACAGCCTCACAGATAATTACCCTGAACATGGAGGCAGCAGACTGCCCCAAAGTGGTAACTGTCGACTTAGTTTTCTGTGTTTACTTCAAGACCAATCTCTATGCATATAGGATATTGGTGGGAAAGCCAGAAGGAAAGAGACCACAGGGAAGACCAAGGCGTAGGTGGGTGGACAATATTAGAATGGATCTTAGAGAGATAGGATGGGATGGTATGGATTGGATAGATCTGGCTCAGGATAGGGACCAGTGGAGGGCTCTTGTGAACACGGCGATGATACTTGGGTTCCATAAAATCCTGGGAAATTCTCGAGTAGCTGCAGACTTGGCGGCTCATCAAGAAGGGCTCAGCTCTGTGAGTGAGTAAGTAAGTAAGTCGTAACTGATGTACATGGCGTCATATCCCATAAGATAGTAAGTAATGTGAGTATATAACTTTTTTATTTTCACTGACATATCAAATATAAAATATTCTGCAAAACAGAAATGGTTTGAAAGCAAATAAATACACAGAATATATGTCCAGAAATAAAGCTGAGAGCCATTAGCTACTTAAAATTAACTTGCCTGTGGAAGGAGGGTAAGCACATTTCTAAAACCCTTATGATGCCATGAAAACATCTGGTGTCATGAAGTGTACAACTGCTTTACCTACTAACAAATGTGTAAAACTTCTGAAATAACTGCATAACTCTAGTCAGTTTTAATGCAGCAATTAAAAGTCCTCTATTACAAAACATGTCATAACCATAATGCAAACAGACCTTCCTTATTCTCATGACCTTCCATTATGGCATACTGTGGAACCTTCATTTAATATTCCATGATTTAAAATTTTCTCATGTACGAGTACCAATTATTTTTGATGATCCAAAGTCACTAATCTCAGTGCGAAATCATTTCACATAAGATACTCCTCAGTTTCAAGTTCAGATTCACTGATTAGCACCTCATAAAAAAATACCTTTTATGGGAGTTTTACTGCACTAAAAAGCAAATGGGCTATATAATCTGCTTGTTTTGGCACAAGGGAGAAGAAACAGTTAAATGTCTGCCTACAGAAAGCCTACCAGCCACCTATGTGCTGTACAGTCATGCCTTAAATGATGTAAATATTTAGCCATGTTGCATCATTCGTCTGTTGTGCAACACTGTTATAGCAGAACTGGAATGCAACTTTATATTGTCTGTGTCACTTTTATTACTACGTAACTGCTTATTCAACAGGTCCCTGTTCTTCTGTTTTTGTAGCTTGTATCTGATATGTAAGCTGCTGGTTTCAGGGTTTAGCCATGTCCCAATGTATACTGCAGTCACCATCTTCAGGGTAAATAGGACAGGAGGACAAAGTGGACCGATATCTAGGTCTCTCAGAGGAGGTAGTGCTGGGGCATGGTGTTTTCCAATGAAAAGGGGCTATGTGGTTATGAAGGAGGGCTGGAGCAGAACAGGTGAAACCGAACTGTTAATCTTTAAGAGCCTAGCAACACCATATGGAGACCTTTAAAGTGGAGTTGAGTGGCCATGAGGCACCGTATCGGTACATGCAGTCCTCGCGTGCGCACAGTGTTTGAAAATCTAATTTTAAGATAGAAGTTCATGTTCTACTTACATTATTTTTGGGCACCCGCTTTATAAGTAGACAGTCTTCCCTCCTGCGTCATCTAACTGAAGGTTCCAACGTGACTGGAGAATATGCAATACAAACATAAACTTCCTCCCCTTTTGCCAGATAAGACATAGTAAGCAGCATGCATTTATACTGCAGAAACTGCAACCCACTGAGGCTAAGGAATGCACAGTACAGAAGCCACACTTCTGCACTCACATTTATCCTCCCTACATAATCATGGAGGGGCACGCAGTAGCATAGTTGGTTGAGGCACTATGCTACAAGCCGGAAGGTCGCAGGTTCAAGTCCCGATGAGGTCATTGGAATTTTTTTCATTTGACTAATCCTTCCAGCCAGACTATGGCCCTGGGGTCAACTCAGCCTCTAACAGAAATGAGTACCAGGAATTACTTAAACAATTTTCCTGGGGAGTAAAGCGTGGCCGACGCTTAGGGCTGGCAACCTTACCCCCATCTTTGAGCCAAATGTCCTGATAAAGTGGGACCCTCAACGTTTTGCAACCCTATGGGCCTTCACGGCCTCTTACAAGGATAGCTTTGCTTTACTTAGTTTTAGATAATCAGGGAACTCATCAGAACAGACATCGCCACAACTTCAACCAAGATGGATACACCCACGCAGTCTGGCTGCAAGTGTTCTCCAACCCTTCTTGCCCACAAGGTTCACTCCCATTGAGAAACACCATGGCCACCATTACTTCTACTGTAAGCCCTACACACCAGCCCACTTCCTCATTCATCCTGAAGACAGTTACCACAACGAACACCAATATTATATACAGTCAGGAGCTCAGTACAACCTGGCCACAACAAGCTGATGGACAGAGCAGTAATATATTGTGACATGTTGACCCCTACCTCCCCAGCGGCACGTGGTGGTAACGTAGCGCTCGAGTAATAGGCAAGTCATCCCCCCGCCACTCTCCCCGCGGTGACGTGCCAAGTGGAACCGAAGTTAGCCGAGTCCCCACAACCTGGTAGCTATGCAACACGCGGTGACGCGGAACCACTTCCTACTGTGACGTGGCACGCAACAGGGACCACTGCGGCTATATAAGGGAACTGCACAGCAGCTACGGGTCAGTTGTAATGTGACAGTCGCCAAGTTAAGTAGCAGTCGAGCGAGTGTGTGATCAACTGTTCTCCAGTCAGCTGACTACAGTTGGAGAATAGCAGCCATCACAGAAAGAAGAACCGGACGTGTGTGTAATTGGGAGTGTGTAATACAGAGAGACTTGTATAGCTCCCGTACTGTGAATACGTGTAGCCTACTGATGATAGAGTGAACTGATTTGCGAATAGGGTTATAAATTGTGAAACCCCGCAACAGTGTTAACAGATTAATGTGATTAGGGTTATAAAATGTGAAACCCCGCAACTGTGTTACAATTAATTGTAGCCGTTATTTGTGGACTGTTAAATAAACCAATTAACGATCTCTACGGCGTCTTCAGTAACCCAACACATTACAATATAATTACCCACATTAAACCTGGGGTTACAAGATTTATAAATGTTTCTGTTGTAGTCTCATCATAATTAATATCATCTCAACATCGTTATACGTGTGTACTAATTTCAGCACAGTAATAACATCTTATATCTTTTATTTCATGTATACAATCACAACTAAATCTCTCTGCCCAAGGGAAATTCTCTAAAAAGAAAAAAAGATGCTGATAAAATACATACTGAAGAATGTTTGCATCCTAGGGCTAGTCCAAGGGGAAGCACAATAGATCATTGAAGGTCGCAGTGCAGGGGCCGGTTTCTATGGCCCACCCCTTACATACATACATATATGTTTGCATCCTTGGTAATATAATACGAGATTCTTACCTCTCTTCCAAGCTATCTATGTACTCCTTTCTCTTGCGTGACTCCTTCGCAGATAGCCTGTTACGAATTTTCCTTCTAATCTTTATAAGTTCATGCTCTGACAGTCGTTTTTCTTCAGCTGCAAAGGAATACTTTAAGCATCAGTTTCAGTACATGAGACACACAAAAATTATTTAATATTGTTAAGTAAAATATACTTCTTAGTGCCCAATGCTTTTCTGGAACTGCATTTGCACTTTAAACTTATGAAGTTCACACTGGGATAAAGATTACTCTTCAAGAAAGTTACTTGAAACAAACTGCTACATACTTCACATTCTAAGACAAATATTATTTACTAATACAGAAATTCGAAAGTTTCCAGTATGTTCATAATAAAAGAACTCAGTGACATTAACACTAAAGGTTCACTACCAATTGATGAATGAAATATTCTGATTTACATAATGGAATTTATATCATGACAGCAATAAACTCTCTTTTAAGTCACTTGCAATCACAAATTCAAGAGTGATTCATATGAACTTTCAGGTCAGAAACTACTCATTGAAAGATCTGCTATGACAGGTGCACGACATTACATCATAGGAGATTGTTTTAAAATCTGCAAAAATGCATCCTTCCTTTGTAAGACCAAACCTCATTTACTTTACTTTACTATGAATCATCCTCAACTTATTCAAAACCTTTTAAACCATAACACTTCTGTTGATCATTCTTACGTGTTAACTGCAGTTTTGGATGATGTCATTTTGAATCATCACCCGTTTCTTCTGGTATACTTCCTTTAGAAGAAATACTGGATGATGCTGGTACTTCTTCTGCTTCCACTGCACTTGCAGCAGGCAAAAGCCCAACATCCAATATCTCCTCTAAGTTGAGAAACAACTCCATTACATCTTCTGGTTCTGCTGACCGGCTTTCTATCTACAAAACAAAAAATAATCGTTTTAATTCTGTTTCACAACACTGACAAACGCAATTAAATTTCTGTACAGGAAATGTAACTTACACCCTTCCTTTCAACGTATTTCCCTTCTGGTCGTCGGCTGCAGAGTGCATTCTACAATATGAAATTGTGAACTAGGTGAAATAGGGAATGCAAGATGACCACAAGATCGATATTGTATCATTCTGAATGGCTCCAAGTGACATGGATGACACAGATTGGCAAAGGAAATGCCTTTATGTAATATTCACTGACCATTGGTTAGGACTTCGACTACTAAATCATCTGCCACGATCTATTAAAGAAATACCAGTACTATATAAGTTCAAAAACGCTTTGAAAACTTACCTAAGCGATCATTTTTTTTATAAAGTGGATGAGTTTCTCTCGTGTGAGACAATCACTAAGCAATTGTAATAACATAATTCATGAATAATCGGTTTTGGGAATCCCTACTGCGCAGTTTTCCTTTCTTTTTTCCAGCAACCAAGATAACACAGTAGGAGATTTACCTGAATGAGCTACTCTGGAGAGATTGCAGATACCAAGAAGCTACACCAGGAAGGGAGAACAGATGTAATGAGATGTTGCAGTGTAGAGTCTACAGTGAAACGTTATACTAGTGCTATCACCAAATTCACCAATATTATCTCAAAGGCCGCGCCATAGCTTAAGCAGTTAGTCACCGGTTTTCCACCGCTGCAGTCTAGTCAAGAGGGATTTGTGATGGACAAAGTGGCACTGAGGCAGGTTTTCCCTGAGTACTTCGGTTTCCCCTGCCTATCCTCATTCCATCAAATTCTCCATAAGCATTATCACCGGTACAGGTACAACAGGACATACGGAAGCCGACGTACCGAGCAGACCTAATATGGATTCCACCTCACACTATACGAACTCTAATTATTGTAATCTATTGTAAACAATTGTAAGTATTGTAACTTTACTCTCTTACTTGAACCGTGTTACAGATCTTTCTGTGTAGGGTCCTTGGATTTACCGTCTCTCTCGGGCAACTACCTATGCTACGACGCGGAGCCGATTCTTTTCCCATTAAGTTCTTTGCTACCACAGGTCACGTGTTTCCCCTTCCGTCGTGTCCCGACACAAGGTGAAGTTTTCTACGTTCACAGACAAGATCACAAGATTTTCGCTCTTTCCTCTGTGCCTTCGACCGAGAAGGTCGGTTTTGGGAATCGAAATTCAGTTTGGTTTGGATTACGCATGTTGCGTAGAAATTCTGTTTCGGCACATTACGTACTACTGGAAGAGAGAGAGAACCCTTTTGAGCTAGTAAGAGCTGGCTGGCTCGGGAGTTTATTTATTTATTTATCGTGGTTTGTAATATAATTTATCATGTAAGTACTTACTGAGTAAGTTGGGCGATGTGTATTGGGACTGCCCTGTATTGGTGAAAGTGTCACGGAGTTACGTGAGTTACGATTGGTTAATGAGTGCCGCAATGCGGCGGGGTACACTTTGCTAGGATTGACTGTTTTGTTTCTTTCAGCTCTGTTTTAAGTATTATTCTGAAATTGGGTGTAGTCCGAACATAATGATTGATTTTCATCTTTTACAATCAGATTATTGCGACAGTTTAAAACCCGTACATTCAAGGTCATTGATCAGCTCAGGTCGGTGAACCTAAGAGGTCGCAACCGTCACTTTAACTGCGTGCCCATTCTGATTCTTTCTTGACTTGTGTTCATTTGACATTTTTCCTGCCCTTCAGGCGAAGCTGTGGTACTTTCTTTTGTGTTACTTGTACAATTTATATTTCTATACTTATGTTACAATATACTTTATGTTATTGAAAAACCAGCTGGATTGTTCTGCTTTCTGTGTACTCCGCTTGATTACTTGTACTGCCTAACGCCTATGCCAGCTAACCCTCTTGGTTCCTCCCTTGAGATCCCCTTCCACATTGGGGAGGCATTGGAACACCACGCGACAAACAGTCGATTGTGAGCTCCGGCCGTCTTCGGCGAGGTGGGACGGCTCATACTGTAATCAGCCAATGTACAGTAACTGATTGATTGATTGATTGATTTATTTCGTCACTGTAGATCATTGTACATGATATATGACAAGTCAAGTTAATTCTGAATATTAACAATTTGATATATAAGTAGATTAAAATTACAATAGTTACAATTTTTTACATTCTTATTTGTGGAGAATTTGATGGAATGAACTTGTCCTATATCATGTAGCAATGATCAATAGAGATGAAATAAATAAATATTCATTTTATTCTCTCAGGATCATCGACCTCCATTTTTATTGTGAAGAATAACTGTAAATACAAAAAAGCCTAGTCAATGTCAATCCTGTACTTTGGAGCACATTCTTAATTAGCCATCACATCATCAAGATGTATGGGTAGTGGAGGTATAGCTCCAACCACTCTTAATCTTGACACTAAATGGATGGGACCTATCAGTTCCATGTCCCAGACACTTCACCCTCTGAGGAAACCAAGCCTGGTACCTACCGAATGGTGTGTTGTGTGGGACCTAGATTCAATCTGAATGCCATAGAGAAAAAAAAAAACAACTTCCTGACTACTGTGCTGGATGCCTAGTTAGGAACCATAACTCAGCCATCCTGGTTTACAACAGAACTTAACTTTCCCTGCCTAATATCAACATAACTGTGGCGAGGCCTGAGAAAAATTACTGCTTGAATTCCATAAACTTCTTTTGAGCAAGATTTCCAACACACAAAATAAATGTTTGCATTGTCCACATACAATTATGAGGAAAACGCTGATGGGGCACAAGATAGCTGCTAGAATCATGTGAGAGGAATCTGCATCACTGCAGATTACATAACAAAGAAATTTTTCTTGTAACTTTTAGATATGTTTAACCATGAAGGTTTTAGATTTCTAAATGTGCAATATGACACTGTGAATAACAATCATAAGCTGTAGGGATCATTTTGAATCAGTCTGATCTGAAGGGAATCTGAAAATTTTTGTTTATACATCCACTGCCATTAGAAATATTTCGGTAGCATAAATGCTTCTCTTTGGCCAAAGCCTTGGTGTTGGGTCGGTTATAAAATAATATTTACAGCCAACAGTAGTCGACTATATAATCGTATATATCGGTGGTCTGCCATATAGCAGGTCAAGTACCCACTTTTAATTAATACAGGCTGACTTATATTATTTAAACCATCAGAAATCCTTTGCATTTGCTGTCACGTAATTCCGGCCCTGCCTGAAATAGGGATCTAGTCCCCTGCATGAAAATATTTCGTCCTGTACGTTTACAAAAGCCAGCTCTTGTCAAAGCACTCCACATCAGGTGACAGATCCATTAAGCTCTTCCCGGGACCTGTTCATGGCCATGGGAGAAGGTTTCTTAGTAATTTTTGTCACATGACTGCTCAAAAGGAAGCACAAACTTTTAAATATGCAGTTAATTTTTAACTTTCTTAAAAACTGTCATCTTTCACACAAATATGTTGATATGTGTTCAATTTTGTTCAGTAATATGCAGCACATACAAATGTCTTCTCAAAATTTAGTAATCTTATAGAAATTTATTTTGTTAAATATTAAGTTTTTATAAGGCAAGCGAAAGTTCCAAAGTCCACGGATCTTTCCTTTATTCGTGTTTAATATGTTGAGGTTCTAAACTACATACCTCACTTTCTTTTCTAAACTGATTACTGAATGTCGCTGTCAATATGAAGCCTACAAAGCATCGACAGGATTATTTATGAATATCAAGCATTTGACAGAATACAGATAAGCAGGATGAACTGAAGTACATGAGAAAATCCACCCTAGTACCACAATGTCAACCACAAATCCCACGTGCCTAGTACTTGGATCAAACCTGGGTCACAAGTTTTGAAGGCAACAAATGTCTCGGCTATGGCATGGAAGAGTCCTTCTTGTGAAGCGGGTAGTAAATCAGCTAGCCAAAATATTCCTCACATCTCATGAGACTAAGAATTCATTAATGCCTTCACAAGAGCCTGTCTCTCTGCTTTACGTTTCCCAATTAAAATTCTGTTAACATTTCTTATCTCTCTCATGTGTCACGTGAGTGGTTCGGTATTCAAACTGGACAAAAACAGACAGCATGGAGATATGAGAAACTTCCTTTTTCTCCAGGAAAAGGAACTGGCCTAATAACGAAGGTGCCAGTAGGCCTATTTTGAGAATTACCTGAAAATGGGAGTACAGAAAACTCAGCATGTCAGGTTTATATATCTGAATGGACAACGTCTAATACAGCAGTGACATAATGAATCAGCGGTCATCACAAACATTTACTGTGTCATAACACTTACTTTAAGCACTTTGAGACCTCTCATATGTGTACAACAGTGTGACCAGAGTCCACAGAGGTGCACAGGGGCTATATTCCCTCAAAGTGATTCATGTAGCTTCAAGTTAGAAATCTGCTCTGCAGTGATATTAAAATTGTTGATCAATCTCACTTGTTATTCTGCCTTGAATCTCGACCTGATAATTGAGGATCCTGAAATTGGAGCCGAGTCCTTCTTGGCGAGTGGCCAGCCACTCAGCTACTCCAGATTTTCCAAACATTTCATGGAACCCAAACGTTCATTACAGTGTTTACAAGAGTCTTTCAGCTGTCCCAATTCTGACCCATATCTGACCAGTCCATACCACTCCATTCTATCTCCCTAAGATACATTTTAATATTACCCTACCACATATATTGACGTCTTCCTAGTGGTCTCTTCCCTTTTGGCTTTTCCAACAAATCCTAGATTGATTCCTCTTTTCCTGCCATGTGTGATACTAGCCCTTCCTATCGCATCATCCTTGATCTGATCACGCTACATAAAATCTCAACAATGAAAATGATAAGTAATAATGATGACAAAATAACCATCTGCAATAACAATCATGATAAAATTCATCAGCAAGTAACTTCCGAAAAACCTCATGGGCGGAAATTTCAAGATTCACCATGCACGTCACTCCCTTGTGTCTTGCATAATTTTGGCTCTCAAAGAGAAATTCAATGTCTGATTCTTTCTCTCTATACAAAGGAAGTTTTGCTGGCATTAGACTTATAAACATTTACGAAACTTGAACTTAACATAGAAACGAATTGTTGAGCATTGACACCTTGCATGAATGTAGGTTACACAGTTCATTACAAAGGAACAGCAAGTCTTCTGTCTCATTGCATCATGTCTATTCCCTGTGTACTGACATTTTGATGCAGATGTGTTAAGTGTAGTACAGCATATAAAGGACAAGGTTCATAAGTGACTATTTATACGCATCATTTTTGTTGGATATGACGTTACAAGTGGGCCCCAAAGCATCATCCTATGATATAGGCCTAGAAAGGAATACAGGAGAAGGCAGAGGAATTACAGAGGATGAAAGTTTATATTACACATGATGAGATTTACAGAATATTGAGGCAAATCACTTACCAGGATGTCTCTTGCTGTGTCACACCAGATCAAGGTATTTTTGCCACATGTTACCAGGTCTGAAAATCACGAAAGGAAACACTTGTAAAACAAGCCAGATTCTATGAGGTTGCGAGGGTTTGTGCAAGAACATTTTCACTGGCATTACAGAAAGTTCCGTGGATGCTACGGATGACTGCA